TAAACAGTTGTTCATTCTTGTAGCTGCTGTTTGCTGCCAATACATATTCATTTTTATTCGTAGATCTTTTCCTTCAATGTTTAATTTTTTCTAACAGTTTGATTCCCTCTTCTTGTTTCACACAGTCAAATGCTTTTGTATAGTCTATGAAACATAAATACATATCAGTCTTTACTTCTATAGCTCTTTCTTTTCATGTAAACACACAAATACATACATGAATTGGGAAACAAACGGTCTGAGAACAAGAAGACGTTCAAGGCTAAATCACGCAAAAAAAGGAACAAAGGCATCAAGACAAGCAAACAAAAAAAAAAAAAATTTTTTTTTTACAACGTATAAAAAAGAACAGGAACACGATACACATCACTTTGCTGTAATCATCATCAGTTGCCATGCCGACTGGCGTGAGCGATCATGCCTCTCTGCAATCTGCGATCTCCTGCAGCATGTATCAGTTCGTGTGCCTCCACGTCTCCATGCCATGCAACAAGGCTGTCAAGAATCTTCTCTCGTTGTCTTCCTCTATTCCCCCCTTCCACATATTCGCTGCAGTAACTGGTGGGGGGGGGGGGGGGGGGGGAGGGAGGTAGAAGAACAAGTCTATGAAAATCAGGTTCACTTGTATTCAGAAAGTAAGCCGCCATCACAGAATAAATATCAATTCCGGGTGGCAAATTTCAGTCTCCACATGCCCTCTTGAACATATACATGTATCACATACAGGAAACATGCAGAGATTAGCAATATGTAAACACAACATGTCAGTACATAAATTGTCAAACTCTGAAGCTTTATGCTGTGTTATCTTGGAAATAGAGACAGAGAAAAAGGGAATGAAAGAGAGTAAGAGAGAGAGAGACAGAGAGAGAGAGACAGAGAAAGAGAGAAAGAGAGAGAGAGAGAGAGAGAGAGAGAGAGAGAGAGAGAGAGAGAGTGACTGCTGGTTTTTCCCTGCCGTTGTTATCTGAAGTTTTTATTACCCCCGGAGATTACCAAATCTCATGGCAAACCAAAAGGGCACATCTCAAATACCTCAGTCAAACTCCAAATACCCCCGTTTAA